ACAGCCAGGGCAACTAAGGAGTGGCTCCATAAGAAGCATTTCAAGGTCCTGGAGTGGCCTAGCCAGTCTCCAGACCTGAACCCAATAGAAAACCTATGGAGGGAGCTGAAACTCCGTGTTGCCCAGCGACAGCCCCAAAACCTGAAAGATCTGGAGAAGACCTGTATGGAGGAGTGGGCCAAAATCCCTGCTGCAGTGTGTGCAAATCTGGTCAAGAACTACAGGAAATGTCTGACCTCTGTAACTGTAAACAAACAGGTTTTGGTACCAAATATTAAGTTCTATTTTTCTATTGTATCAAATACTTATTTCATGCAATAAAATGGAAATAAATTATTTAAAAATCTAACAATGTGATTTTCAGGAATTTTATTGTAGATTCTGTCTCTCACAGTTGAGGTGTACCTATGATGAAAATTACAGATCTGTCCATTCTTTGTAAGTGGGAAAACTTGAAAAATCGGCAGTATATCAAATACTTATTTGCCCCACTGTATCAATGCTCAGGGTAACTGAGTTTCGCACAACCTTTACATGAGTGGTATTTTGTGATTCATCTGTCTTCTAGGAGGTTAGTTCAGTGTCTTGTTTAGCTCAGTGGGGGGTGATGATGCACTCGTGCTGCAGCAAGGAGCAGCCAGTGGAGGTGAAGCTGATGGCCACCAAGGTGCTGGTCAACTGTACACACACTCTACTGACCAGCCCTCATCTGCCCCTGGGTGAGTCTCAAGTATGGAACAATTATGTGTGTACATGTCATTCTATGTGAGGACAGATTATTGTTCATTTCTATCAATGTGAAGACATTTAGCCTGTCCTTACAACCTTAAAGGGCTGTTCTGGGTTCAGGTTTGAATTAGGTTTTGGTTAGTATTAAAGTACTGTGGACTGCATCATGTCCTCACCACTATAGAAAGACATGCGTGCGTGTGTATATATATACACCGATCAGGTATAATATTATGACTACCTGCTGTTTACATAGGAGTCAATGTGGCAGTTGGTCAGCACTTGTGTCACTCTGCAGCTCACTGTGCATCTTTTGTGAATCCATTTGCTTCCACAGTTATACTGTCAGGAAGAGCACAGATGTGTCTACAATTCAGTGAAAAACGTATGTAAAAGGAGTGAAAACTGTGGTCATGATAACAAGTTAGAGAGAATTTTTTAGACCAATTCAACAGCCTCACCACTCTAGGTGTGATGTCACCACTACACCCCCTGACTCTTTTTCTTTATACAGACCAATGTACAGTATTTCTCATTTTCAACCATTTTAAAAAAGATTCAAATAATTTTAATCTTTTGAAAAAGTACAAATGGAAGTTAAAAGTTTAATCTACAATAGGGCACCTTAATCATCGGTGAGCCGTCGGCGTCCATGACCCTGTTGCCAGTTCACTATTTGTCTTTCCTTAGCCACAGTTGGTAGGTACTAATCACTGCAGACCAACAACACCCACCAAGACCTGCAGTGTGGGAGATGCTCTGACCCAGTCATCTCACCATCACAGTTTGACCCTTGTCAAAGTCACTCAGATCCTTAGACTTGCCCTTTTTTCCTGCCTCCAACACATCAACTTTGAGGACTGAATGTTCACTTGCTGCCTAATATACCCCCCACACTGACATGTGCTACTGTAACAGATAGTCAGTGTTATTCACTTCCCCTGCCAGTGGTCATAATGTTATGCCTGATCGGTGTATGTATGGCAGTCTTTGTGAGTTTTATACCAATACATTTCTGAAAAAGTGGCGATATTTGAACTGGTCCGGTCTAACCTCAATTGTGTTGCTATATATTAATATTATTACCTGTTTGTGTATGTGTGTGCATGTGTGTGTAAGGTCTGCCCACTACACTTTCTCTGTGGAGGAGTCTGTTCACTTTGCTCCAGGATGAAGACCAGGATGTCCGAGATTCAGCCTCAGACTTCATCTCTAATGTACCAGCAGGTCTGCTAAGTAAAGGTACACATTCAGTGCCAAGATTGAAAAGGACTCCACACACACAAACACAGTTATGCATAAATATGCCTTTGCAGACTAACTAATGTACTGTATCTGCTCAGCACTTGTCCCCAACAATATACACATAAGAGAGACAAACGCAGATACATTTGTCTACTTGAAAATTATAAGCACACAGTGTCACAGACAAACCCATACTGAAGCAGACAGCAGTGATGATGCATGCACACACTCATATGTATAACAGACACACTAATATAAAAGGAAAACACCACAAACACATGCTGATTAAAAAGGGTAGATGACATCATTTCGTGTTAAGTGTTAAGGTCAAAGTGTTTATTTGTCATATGCAGAGTTAGAAAACGTGTTTCCCTGTACAATGAAATTCTTACTTTGCCGTCCACATGAATGCCACTAAATACAAATGAAATATAAAGTAGATAAATAAGTAACACAAAATCTAAGGCACTTTAAGTAGCAAATGCAGCAATATAATAAAAATATATGAGAATATAATAAGAGAATGTATGCTGCATGGGAGCAGCATGTGCAGTAGTCAACAGCTGGGGAGCATTCCTGGAATGATGAGTGATTATAGTCTGGCATTTGGCACAGTGAAAAGTGTACGTGTGTGTGTGATCGCCGTGGGAATGTCTGAGTTCTGTTTTCTGAAGAACCATATGATGCCCAGCCTTACTGAAAGGATTTGCTCACAAATACCACAAGTGTATACACCAATGAGTCTTATCCTCAGCTCTCCAGAACCCCTCACTAACAGCCCTAGTGTGACATCCTGGACGTTTTCTTCCAGGAGCCACCCTTATTGTGTCTGTTGCCACTGATAGTATCTCACAACATACTGTAACATAAGACAGCAGCACATCTCCTCAAGAGTCTCTGCAGCCTCTCATGGCAATGCTGTTTATGGATGGGAGGCAGAGTCATGGGGGAAACTCCAGAAGAGGTTATTTTAGGTAAAGGCTTAAATGGACACATTCTGTTGTTTAAATTCTGTTTAAGATGCAAGTGAGAAAAAAATCCAAACTTTTCCTTTAACGGTACAGTATGTTTCATGATCAAGCCAAGGAATTGCATTGAAAATCCCGGAAAGTGTTTGGATACCAGGGTTTTATTCTCAGGCTGTGTGTGTTTTTATGTGTTTATGTACATAAGGCCAGACTGGGTCAGATGAGCTTCCAGCAAAAACCCAATAGGAGCTCAACAGCATGACTAAGATTTTTTGTCACCGTTGCAGTTCACTCAGAGTCAGGTTGTTTCTCTTTTGTCTCTTTTTTGCTTATTTGTGCCATGTTAAAGCAACAATTAAGACCGCAAACTTTATGACCGGGCAACTTTGTTACTGCTAAGAGAGCGCAGTCTTCTTGGAGATTTTGACCCGAGCACGTTGGACTCTAAAGGCTCTATTCTATTATAAAGCCTTGTCCGGTTCTTTCAAACCAGGAACTCAGAGGGACGACTCAGACCACTTGAGTATATAAAAAATATATAACCGTGCTGGTTTATTCAAAGAGTCACAGGCAAGAATTAACATTACGAGTCCAGAGATCTTCCAACCCCCAGGCTGCCCAAGCAGCCCGGAAGCAGAAAAGACCCAGAACCCAGAATTGCTATACAATATCATCACTTAGTTGGCTCGCCCCCTCCTCCACCACCGAAACGTCAACCGAGACGTCTCTCAGCTTTGCAGCTGGCTATAACATTAGCCAAAACATGAGGAAAAGTCAAGGTGTGTGGCTGTTGTTTTC